CCGCAAAGAGCAATTCTCATAAATGGGGATGCGACGGTTATTCGACGATGTCGTTTCGAAAAAATCTTCTCGCAACGAAGGCGTTTGCCATACTCGCGGCCACAACAGCATCCAAACGACGCTGTTCATCTTCGTGAACGAGGCACCGCGGACGTCCGCACGCTCGCCTCTATACGTCTCCCTGGCTCTCCAAAGCAGTGAAACTAACAAACAGCAGAGAGACAGAGAAAGAGAATGAGAGAGAGAATTAGAAGGAGAGAGAGAGAGAGAGAGAGAGAGAGAGAGAGAGAGACAAAGATGGGAGATGGGAGATGGGAAATGGTAGTTGGGAGATGCGAGAAAGAGAATTCCTTGACGAAGTTGAATGGGAATTACCTCTTTACTAATGTGCATCCACCCTCGTTTGGAGTGACATGTTGGAGTACGATCTTTTTTCTGCAATAGTCCGCCACAACATAAAATTATACCGTTTACTTTCTTTCACGAGACGCGCGTCATTTGCCCGCCAATGCTTATCCCGCCGAGTGTCAAAGGTGAATTATGTTTTCTTGAAAATCTCTTTTCCTTCGTCGTCATTGGTCACGTTGAATTGCGACAGCTACGATGCCGTTTCAATTGTATTTACCCTTCTTTTGTCGTACTAAAAACTTGCCGTCATTTGAATCAATTTTATTATTCATTAAAATAGCACAACGATCGACAAATAGATATTTCGCATTATAGCGGAGCTAAAAAGATTTCCTCCTTAATTGTCGCTGACCATTATACCGACCCAAAGAAAAATGCTAAATAGTACAAAACCACGTAGCTGTTAGGCTATCGACCGAAAGAAATTGACTCGCACTCGACAATTAAAAGTCGCAATTTGATTTTTTACTTTTGCTTTTCTTTTCGTTTCTTCGCTCGCTCAAATTCATTAACATTATTGACAACGGGCAGGATCCATCTAATGTACCGTAACCTTAAAGCTCGTGTTTCTACTCGATATAACCTACCCAACACGCACGCAAACACGCGCACACACGCACACACGCACACACGCACATGTATGTATGTATATATATAGATAAATAGAACGTGGAGTTACGTAAAAGTAGCGCAAACAAGTCACTAGAATACCGAGGCAAAATACCAAACATGATAAACGCTCTAATTAAATGTTTAAAACATTTATAATGAAATAGCAATGTATTTAGGATGCGGTAAGGCTACGCTGTCAGACTTAGTTTATCGGCTTAGCGGAGGCCTTGGGGCGGACAGATTCATGCAAAAACTAGAGAAAAAATTTGCTCGTTGGGAGAAAAGGAGGAAGGAGCCGGTGATATATATAAGAGCGTAAGGAGGGAGGGCTTGAAAAAAGACAGCCGAAATAGCTGAGCCGCGAAGGGACGGGGCGAGCGTAGGAAGTCGTGGGTAAAAGGGCGATTATGTTCCGGCTACGCTCGGAATCGCCCGAACCCGCGTATCCCCGACGACCTGGTCGACGCGCGTAAATCTCGCAGATTTGGAACGGCTCGTTTTGCAGTCGGCGCGCAAGAACCTAATGTCGGATCTATCTATCTCCTCGACTCGGAGCCGAGCGGTGATTTATCCGGTCGGCCGAGCCCCTGCAGGAAAACAGTTGGCCGACCGCAAAACGATCCTGGCTTTTCGACTCTCCTTTAATTTTCTTTAGCTTGGTCCTTCGTGGGAAATGTAATACTGGATAGTAGTTGGAGGCTCGGGAAGGGCAAAGTAGAATGAGTAGCGCTGGCCTTTACGCGACCGAGAATTATAAAACGTCAATTGCTCGAATTCAGATTAGTGTTAAATTACTTAATACAAACGAAACTTTATTACGTCTAAGGCTTTATTGGCGTGACAAAAGTTAATGTCAAACAAATTTAATTAACTATTGTTTGCAAAAAACCGCTGCAGGTTTACACTGTAACAACAGTGTTATCACTGTAAAAAATAAGGTTTTAATCGTTCGTGTTTGTTTATTAGATACAAACGTTCGGAATTATAAGATAATTTTAACAATAATTTGAATTTTATGCTTATATTAGGCGACTTAAAATAATATATTTTCCAAAATCTGTAACCGCTTGTCAGTTATCCATGACTAACAATCTTAATGAATAGGGTTTCATTTTATTTTTTTCTCTTTTTTATTCTTTTAAAGTCATTTTATTTAAAATAACGTAAAGGACAACGATTTAAGGCATTAGATTTAATAATAATAAAAAAAAACTTCAAAATACGAGTCTGATTGAAAAAAAAATAATAGTTAAAATTTGAATATTACTTTGAAAATATGTATATATATATATATATACATCCACGCATACACATAAACACAAAAAAAAATAAAATATTGCCTTCTTATTATTTGTAAAGTACAAAAAATAATTATGAAGCATAATTTCAGTTTGCAAAAGTAACTTAAAGATGAAAAAAAACCTTTATAATTGCATAATGAATAATTCTTCGACTATTTTTCTACAGATGTCATTGAGTAAATATTCATAGCAGTGTATCATAAATTTCAATGTTCAGCATTAATAATTTATGGGTATAACGTAATCAAAGTACAGTGTAATAAAATCGATGGATGTTGGATTAAGTTTTACGCTACAAACTTTGAATATCCTTCTTATCTCATTATGCAAAGTTTCGAAATCCTAATTGAGAGTTGTAGTCGAATGATCGATAATTCGTAAGAGCGTGATTTTACATAAGTTGAAGCTCAGATAATCTGTTATTATGAATCCGTTAATTATATTACCCGCTCCAAAGATTTTACCTGACCAATTGTACATTTGCGTGCACTTGATGAGATGCCAATTAACGAATGAAATGACACGGCAATCAGCCCGTATATTCCACCAATTAGAAATCATTTCATCGGATAAATAATGGGCAAGGAGGATCTATTATTGCAAAGTACGTAGTAGTAGCTATGATTTTCAGCATACATTTTGCAAGTCATTATTATGAATGAAACGCCTTGAATTAATTATCTCTCTGTATTAGGTTGTGTTGGTCAAATCCATAGCTATCAGTGCTATTTTGTTGGTCAAATAGATTATCTGAACATTACTTTCTAATATGTCAATTGAATCTGTTATTGTCGATCTTGACTATTTCGTTAATACTCAATTACCATTTAATGTTATAAGAAAAAAAATAAATAAATCAATAAAACAAAAAAGATGCAATTAGTTGTTCAATCCAATAACAGCTCAATAGGAATTATTCAAATGAATATTCAAACGAATTAAAAAATTCTAACTTGCTTCTTTTTTTTTTTTTTTTTTTTTTTTTTATTTTTTTTTTTGTTTTGTTTCAGAAAAATAGTAATATTTCAAAATAACTACGTACTACTTGCCTTTAAATAGAAATCTTTTTAAAAATCTCAATTTTAATCACCCTTTAAAAATTAAGTGCTTGAACATAAACTTTTTCAAACATTCTTATTAAATTCTATTATTTAAACCATTTTTTTTTTCAATCTCTTAATCTGTAGAAATTTCTAATATATTACGGCTATGAATATGCGACTACGATGATGTTGTAGCACTTTGTATATTTAAAACTAAATAAGAATTAAATTTATTAATAGTAAATGTTTTTGAATATTTCATACTTTGCCAAAGCATTTATAAATATTTTTTATTAACTAAAAAATTTAGTATTTCAATGGATATATAACGAACTTTGCTGTAAAGAAATATTAAATCATTTGTACATTTAGCTGAGAGTAATAAAGCAAAGAAAGGAAATGTTTTAATAAACGCTTATAAAATAAATCAATGTTTGCTTTTGAAAAGGTACGTTCACAGTCACAATAATAGCTGAAATTCTATATAAATTTTTGAAATTAAAGAAGAAAACTCAAATATAGGGTTATATGGATCTGACATAATTTATCAGTCATCAGCAACAATTTATACAATGATATATTTTAGCTGCTTTCTTATGGTTTTCGTAAATCTTAATGTTGCTCTGAATATTATATTAAACTCTTAAAAGCGAAAATAAAATATAAGGGTTAAAATATCATAATACTCGTTTGTAATTATTATTTTGTCATTGCTTATTATTCACATTTATAATATGTTACAGTCACAAACGTACATGAAAAATATGACTTAACATTTACATGTAAAAAACTATGTAAATTATTATGTTTCGAACAATAATAATAATAATAATAGATAATAATAATAAAATTAGATAATACATTATTAAGATGTAGGCTTCCCATCTATTTGAGTATCGTTAAGAACGCAATTTGCATCATAACAAAGATATACGATATAAGTGAAATAAATATTGATAAAAATCAATTGTGTTTCCTTATAAATTTATCAGCATTGTAAAATTATAGAATTATTATAAAAAAATTTGAACCACATTACTGATTCTCTGGTACTCGAAAAATCTAGTCCGACAAAAGATAAAACTTTTTTCGTTAAAGCGTATTCTCAGCTATCGTTAACTATCAAATAATTTGCGAATCGATGAATGTATTATTCCATCAAATTTAGCGCCACCATTTTCCATATATTTTCACTGAAAATTTTAATCTCTTAAGAAAAGTGTAAAATCTCATTATCCACTAATTGCATTCAGTATTATAGAATTTTAATAATTTCATGATATTTATATATATATATATATATATATATATATATTTATATATTAAGGAAAAATAAAATAAAATAATAATAATATTACCGAGATATAAACGAAAAATACAATTTCAATACGGAATTAACATTCATTTAAAAAAGCTTAATATCTTATCTATCGCATATATATATGACATTCATTTTTACAAAATTAATCCAAAGAATCTCCCAATATCAATAATATCTTGTTGTTGCTTCAACTATAAACAATAACATTTCAATGGCAATGGGACCTGTTATACTTTCATTTAGATGCAAATTTCTTATTCAGCCCCACGAAAGTCATTCGTCATAAAACTCTAATGCAGGATTTGTCGAAAAGTCTCAGTTAATAATAATACTTTCTCGACCAGCACCAATACCTATCCACTTAACCGGTATATTCAAGTGCTTCTCCAATACCCTTACGTACTTTTGCGCATTTAATGGTAAATTGTCAAACGAGCGCACATCTGCCGTACAACATTGCCATCCTTCCATAACCTCATAAATAGGCTCAACTTTTTCCAACTCGTCCGTACTACTTAGGAGGCTATCGATTACTTTACCATTCATGCGATGGGCGATGCAAACATTGATCGTCGGCAATGTATCTAATATATCAAGTTTTGTCAAACAGATGGACGTGTAACCATTTATAATAGCCGTGAATTTTAATAATGCTACGTCAAGCCAGCCGCAACGTCGTTTTCGCTTCGTCGTAACGCCAAACTCGGCACCGCGTTGTTGTATTAATTTCCCGGTTGCGTTTAATAATTCGGTCGGAAAGGGACCATTGCCAACTCGAGTCGTACAGGCTTTAACAACTGCAATTGTTTCACCGATTACAGATGGCGGTAGGCCAAGACCAGTACAAACCCCACCAACACTGCACTTTGAGCTAGTGACGTATGGATACGTGCCAAAGTCCAAGTCAAATAATGCAGCGTTAGCACCTTCGACCAAAATTCTCTCCCCCGACGTTAATGCATCGTGTAAGTACTTGATGGAGTCGCGCGCGAAATGCCTGATTCGAAGGGCATAATCTCTGTAACGTTCCAATTCGTCGTTCACGTCAACTTTGAGAGTGGGATTGAGGTGGCTTTCGATGTCGGGACAGACAAGAGAACTTGTCGTAATTACCTAATAGCTCCGATAGCCGAATACCAGTTCTGGCAGTCTTGCACGCATAGGCTGGCCCTATAACTTTTCGCGTGGTGCCAAAGCACTCGGCTCCTCTATTCAGCTCATGCAGCTGATCGACTTGCTGATGAAAATCAAAAACCATGTGAGCCCTGTCGAAAATAATTAATCGATCCCTCCAATCCTTATATCCTCGTGCCTCGATTTGTTCGAGCTCCTTGAACAAGTCTGGCAAGCGTATGACTACTCCATTGCCTATTATAGATTTGCATCTTGTGTTTATTATTCCGCTTGGCACTAGGTGAAAGTAATATTTGATGTCTTTGACAACAACCGTGTGCCCTGCATTACTCCCTCCTTGATATCTGCAGACAATGTCCGCATCAGCAGCCAGCATATCCATAATTTTGCGTTTACCCTCGTCACACCATTGGGCCCCGAGTACAACCGTGACCTTGGCTTGCTTAATCGCATCCGTACTGGGCGATATTCTCGATTTTTTTCCATGAAGTCGAAAATGAGAGAAGCTCGTCATTTCGCTTGACCTGAGAATTATCGACCGACATTTTTCTCAACACCACGGCTTCACTTTATTATTCTCTTTCTGATTATTATCTTCAGTCTTCCGACTTTTTCACCCAATCCAATGTTTCGTCTTATTCTTAAATTCCTTGTCCCCTATTACATACTTACTTCTTGAAATTTGCCTAGTTAAGGACAAAATGTCTCACGATTATGCTAGTGATTGATAGTGACAATTTCGATGTCCAAGTGCTAAGAGGCTAAAATAAATTGAGCTAAAACGATCACGAATAGACAATTCTTCTCGTTAAACGTATCGAGCCTCCATCCACAACTCTGTTTTCTTCTGCTCTCCCATTCCTCCGTCCCTTCATTTCTATATTACAAAAAAAAAAAAAACATTAATTATTCTAATGTGTAATTTATTATTATTTTATTAGTAATTTATGATTTGTTTTTTTAACCAAATATCACTGTCAACTTATATATTTTATTGTCTTCGGGGCATAACGTTCAAAAAAAAAAAAAAAAAAAAAAACATTGTGACCCTTCACACGTGCCCCTTAATTTCTTAATCATTTGTTTAATTAATTTAATAGACAGTAAAAAAATATGCAACTCTTTGATTTTCGAATATTTTGCCAATGTTAATGAAATAACAGATTATGATTTCAAAATTGTTTCGTACTCCACTTAGATATGACGTTGCTTAATCGCTTCAATGACGTATTTTTGTGGAATTATAATTATAAAACAACATTTGTTTTAAGTATCATCAATTATATATACATTACATATATATATATATATATGTAAAATATATTTTTTTTTTATATCAACTGTTTGAATTTTAGTATTTTGTCACAAGAATTATAATTATAAAACAACATTTGTTTTAAGTATCATCAATTATATATACATTACATATATATATATATATATGTAAAATATATTTTTTTTTTATATCAACTGTTTGAATTTTAGTATTTTGTCACAAAATTGATGATACTTAAAACAAATGTTGTTTTATAATTATAATTCCACAAAAATACGTCATTGAAGCGATTAAGCAACGTCATATCTAAGTGGAGTACGAAACAATTTTGAAATCATAATCTGTTAATATATATATATATATATATATATATATATACATAAATAATTTCTATAAATGAGTATTGGCATTATCTTATGAATATTAAAATACATTATTAATTTCCATTTATATACATCATGTATTATAAATATAAATATATATAATAATACCTATAAATTTGAATTTTAATATACATTAATAGAAATAATTGGTCAAGTTAGTGTGAAAATTAAATGATAATAAAATGTTACTCTATATTGATAAAGTCCCATGCATAATATATACGCAACGGCTTTTTCCGACTTTCATTTAAATAATTAAAACAATATTCTTTTAAATACAAATATATATTGGCGGTGCATAATTTCTTCTTGTGGTAATTTTACACACTTTCACACATTCTATTTCCCCCAACTTACAAACATTAATGGTCTGCAAGGTGTTGTCACATTGCAAGTGCTTAAAATAACTCATCAAGTGTTTAAAATTAGCATCAAAGCATCACACATAAGAATGTATAGTTTTAACACATTTGTATTAAAAAAGATTTCATTTATTTTGTTATAAAGCGGTAGAGGAAATTAATTTTACCAGAGACGGGTTAAGATATATAGTACTTGAAAATTTTCAAGCTGGTTGTCAAAGTGACGTGATATAAATGGATAGAAAATTTCGAAAAATTGTTAACACACAAGGCTTATAGACGTATTTTACAATTTATTAATTTAAAAAGTTTATTTAAACTATAGTTACATTTACATTTTGTATATTCCTCTCGTTATTCCATTCAGCAATGCTTAATAAGTAAATAATTTACTTACAGTTATTATAATAAAAATTTTTAATTACTAATAATAATTTTAAATTGAAATTTCTATTACTTTTATATACCAATTGTTATTTTAATTACTTATTACTTACTATTTCTAAATGAAAAATATCTATTTACACAATTTAGAACAAAAAAATAAAAATATAATTATAAATAAAATAATGTCCGATATCTGAATATATGTATCATATCATGAATCCGGTATATACGAATACGGTAGTTAAAAATACTAAAAAGACAGAGATAAGCATATTTAAATTGAAAAATTTAGTTAAATTTAATACCAAAATTTCATGTATTTCATCTTCGTGCTTTATTGTTTTTAACATAAAATTTAAGAATATTTTAATTATTTTTTCATTATATGCCAATTAAACTTATTATTTCAATAATGTTGTACCCCACGGATTAATTGCATCGTATTGCAATCTAAAAAATCACTGTATTTCTATTAAAAAGCGAGTTATTTTTATAAAAAATTTATTCCTGCAATAGTCGTTTATCATTTTGCACTTACTATACGAAAATTTCAGACAAACAATATATAACTCATAAAAATCTAATAAATTCCTAGAATTTTGTTTACTTTCATTATGTTGGGCAATTTTTAAACTCTTTGCAATGATTTCTTCTCTTTACTAATAGCTATAATTATTGCTATTGTTGTTTAAATAATATAAAACATTGCATTGTCGATTATCACAGTTATCATTTACTTCAAACTTTTAACATTATAGTCCTAATAATTTATTATAAAACAGATATTTGTGAGAACTACCTTAAACACAATATCTTCATGGATGGGAGGTTTCATTGAAATATACATTTGTACTTGTATAATTTGGTTATAAAAAAAAAATCTAACAATGTTTTCTTTGTGAATTAAAATTCATTTTTAAAAAATTAACCTCACAAAAATGAACACAAACAGTAGAAAAAATAATATAACTATTGAAATTGTAACAAAAAAAAAAGAGGTGGGGGGAAGAAAGGAAAAAAAATTAACTAAAAATATAATAAAATATATAAGTCCGTGCAAATTAAAAGCTCTAGGCAAACTAATAATACTCGATCAACTAATAATAACTAACATGAAGTCTTATAGCTTTATAAACATTTTGATTATCCTTCGTTAAGAATTAACAGAATTATAACAAATTATTTACTATATATTGCGGAAGGTCACGGTTGAAGTTCAACACTTTAACTTTTATGAATTTAAATACTGAAATTAGTTTATTACTTACAGCAATAAGACGCATCGTTCTCTTTCTACAAGTTCTCCAACTTATCACAATATTTACAATTAAAATGTAACTTTAGATAACGTTCAATCATTCTTTAATATTCAACTATTATAAAACAAATATAAGCCACTTTTGTTTACTTTTTTTTTTCAATTAAACTGATGTATTGAAAAATTTACAACTCACTTTTATAATCGAATAAGTATTGCTCAGGTTCATTGAACTGATATATGTATAAGGTGAAAAATTACAACCACAACATTTATTATATAACATTTTTAATGTATTATAATGGTTTCAAGAATTAATGATATGGGAATGCAATTACATGTACATCGACTGCAAAATGCAAATGAAATATTAAAAAATTTTCAATTGTAATAATTCTAAAAATTCAGCGGGTTCTCAAAATTTTGTGATATAACGATTACTTCCATTTGCTTTATTAATGATATTTTTTACTTTTAATAACAATTAAGCAAAAAAACAAGCAATGTTTAAGCAAAAAAAAAAAAAAAAAAAAAAAATTATTTAATTTACGATTGTTATTTTATGTAAGTCAAAACTTAAGAAATAGTTTTAGGAAAAATATTCCATCATTTGATCATATGAAAATTATTAATTAATTATTCAATTACAAAATTTCATAGTATTACAATACAATATTAATTATTGTATTTATTTGTTTTTATATTTATTAGAATATCATTAATTATTCCATTGAAACGTTAAACACAACATCGATAATTTACTAATAATATTCATCAATAATATAATGTAATTAATATTATCCTTACATAATATTTAACTTCATTTGTCATTTATTTTTACATTACATAACGATTAGCAAATAATATTTGACTTGTCTTTCCAATTAATGGCTTTGATGTATTTACTTTAATTACTAATGAATATCATTTATTTGTTTTTATTTGTAAGAATATAGTAAGGCGAACGATGTAATTAAATCAATTTGCTATGAAATAATTAGATATATAAACATTTTTAAAGGAGTATTGGATCAAAACTAAGAAACTTGGCAATATGTTGATTTACATAAATCATAAGCCAATGGAAGCAGACTCCATAAAAATAATTAAAAGTACATTGAATACATCGAATCGGTTTGACGTAATTCAATTTACTCCAAGTACATTTTATAAATCCCAATTAGGACATAAACGTTCAAAATAGCATCATCGATATATGCAGGATTTATTTATTTATTCATGACTAGTTAAAAGCCTAAAATTCTTAGCGCCGATCAGCGTGTGCAGTCGCTTTGGCTTGAAAACAAATGTCCCTGTTTCTTCATAATTTTCACATTTACTTCAGCTTTATGTTTTTCGAAGACTTTAATCGGCCGGCAGACTTTACTCAACCTCCATTGTTCTCCATATAATCAATCACCTCTTGATGAGACAGATGCCGCACAACTATTAATAGGAGAAAACGTAGAAGATTCGTCTGAAAGCGACGAATTTGTTCGAGATTTGAATGAAAACGTGCGCATTAACGTAGCCTATCGAGTAAAAATGTATAGCGCGAAAGATATTGACATCTGCTGCTTTTTATCTGCCCGACGAATCCTCCTCCCCCCCCCCCCCCCCTCTGTCCCTCGTGGATGGGGCTCCACTCTTTATTTCATATTCCACTCTCCTTCTATCGTACAATCTTCGAGTCTGTCCCGACATTGAAAGCACTTCACCTCCCTCTCGCCCCACGCACCAACGCCCCCACCCTTGAGGGGGGCTTCCGAGGCACATTAATTTTTTCGTTCGTCGCTCGGCTACTTTACGAGCGCGCCGATTTCTGCGACATGCGCACGCGCGCGTCGA